TTCAAACTTAAATAAACCAACAGACAGAATGGATCTTATGGATGTGGGGAGGTTATTCCAGTCTGATGGAGCCTTATATTGAAATGATCTGCGTCCAACTTCTTTAAAAACTCTTGGAACAGAAAAGGTGAGACAATCAGAGCTTCGGAGTGAAAAAGGTGTAGAGAAGGGGACAAAAAAACAAAAACAAAAAAAATTTACCACATATTTAAAGCTGCACTAACTGACTTTGGGATTTTGAAGCCGTGGACTCTCTGGCCTCGCTCTTTCTGCTCCCCTCCCCGCACCCACAAAGCTATCGCCCCCCACACACACCCACTGTTGGGACGGAGCTAGTGTCTCCCAATATGGATAATACATGGACATGGATTTGCACGTGGATGGCGTGACCATAAAACGATAGAACCGGGAAGCGCGGAGGAACGAGACTTTCTTTTGGATGGCTGTCTCGCTGTGTAAGCAGTAACCGGTTAACCTTGCCTGCAAGCTGAATTCTCGCGGTATTTGTGAGTTCACAAACACTCGAGAATACATCTTGTACCGCTCCCGCTTACACTTTTCGAGTCGAACCACTGGGTGTGCGAGCCAATCACGCGCCAGTCTGGGGGTTTAGGGCGGGATATCCGGGTTTGACGAAAGCAAGAAGTGCCGGGCCGAAGCAAAACAAACATGGCTACGCAGGAGGACGGACGCGTAGCTGAGGCTATCAAGTCAGTTTTAGCAGAATCTCCAATTTCTTTTTTGAAAGATGAACAGCGAGAGGCGCTTTGTGCATTTCTGGACGACAAAGATGTTTGTGCATTTTTACCTACGGGTTTAAGTCAAACCTTGGTGGGCGGGCACACAGCGTCACTTCGCCCAATCAGCTTGAAGTATTCTGCTGCTTATCCCTCCTTTCCCCGAAAGGATTCTCCGGGAGAAATCCCAGATTGATATCGTGGAGAACGCGTTAGAGTTCTACACAATCATCAATCTGGCTCTTGCCAGGTTAGTAACTGGTGACGAAGACGAGAAAGTTTCAGGTTAGCTCCTCGGCTTGTTGTGCTAACTCAGCTGTCTGTGCTAACGGACCTGTAGATTTCTCACGAAAGTGGGGGCCAGTGGTCCGTTGTGATTGGTCACAATTTGCGACCCGAAACACATTCTCTTCCTTGTTTCATCAAAACTCGATCTAAAATATAATGTCACGCCAGCACAAATCTGCGCTAATTATTCTTCAAAAGGACGTATATCCCAATGCACTACATGGACATGGATAGCATTTTCGTAATGAATACGAAAATAAAGTCAGTTAGTGCAGCTTTAAATACAGTCCACATTAAAGTCCAAATGAAAGTGCTAAAATAGTTATTTATTTAGTCAGCAGCGATGTATAAAGTGTGGCACATATTTCAAACAGAGAACACCAGCTTTCAGATATTTAAAGATTTTTCTCAAATCAAGATAAAATCAACTTAATCCACTGTAGCACATTTTGTCGCTCTCTGACTGTTGTCCAAGAGAAAGGGTTGGCGCCCCCTGGTGGACACAAGCATGTACTACATCACATGAATCAGATCCGTTAAATATTGAAAGTATTTGACGGTGGAACCTTTGTGTGTCAGGTTGTCAGTTGCCGAGTACCATGAGCAGGAGGAGATCTTCAAGCTTCGTATCGGTCATCTAAAAAAGGTAAACGCATGATTACTGTACGTTCTGGACTAAACGCCGTGGCATTTTGAAGGTGGCGGCTTATAGTGAGGTGCGGCTTAATTAGTGTTATTCGACCAACAGAAATAACTCTTTGACTGCCATTGACGTTTTTGTCTGAGACGGTGATTTCTGTCCAACTTCCTCTTTTCGACTGGAGATTACAGGCGAACAAAACTACCCAGAAACAGACTTATTGTTGCTGATGAAAGTAGACAGTCCGGTCTTTCAGAATCTGGTTTCATTTTTCACGTCGTCATAACACACGATATTCTGTGGGTCTTGAAAATCAGTGAAATCATCAAAAAACGGCTGCAGTCCATGAGTTATTGAGGCGTTTACAGAGTCCTCACTTATAACTCTAATAATAAATACTTTTTTGGTTCTTTGTATTAAACTTTTAAGTGAAAAGAGACCTGTAGATGTTGCTCTTTACCCTTTTGCTTCACACTGTAAGATTAAAAACAGTCTCTCACTTCTTACTCTTCTTACTCACAGTAGAGACATGTTTTTCAGTGACAGTTCTCAATATAACAAAGTGGGACCGGTGCAGCTTATAGTCCGGACAAGAGTCAGAATCGATGTATTGTCATTTGCAGAAAAAACTACATTGGAATACAAACAGGAAACACCGGACATAGACAAAAAGAATACTAAAAATAGCGAGGCACATATAAAACTCATAAAGTCCTTGAGGAAAACACGGTTCACGATTGATTCTCGATACAGGAGCCCTGGTGTGTACCCTCTCCTCTGTCTGGGGCACACTGGGGGAGTCTTGCACAGTTTTTCCAACGGGGTTTTACTGCAAATGGCGAATAAATGTGATGATTGCAGGAAGAGGCAGAGATCCAAGCTGAACTGGAGCAGCTGGAGCGAGTGCGGAACCTCCACATCCGAGAACTGAAGAGGATCCACAACGAAGACAGCTCTCAGTATGTAACAGAATGATTATTATTAAAATGACACAAAGCCCAGTATTTACAGCCCGTTGTTGTAGATTCAAAGACCACCCGACGTTGAATGACCGATACCTACTGCTGTATTTGCTTGGACGAGGTGGTTTTAGTGAAGTTTATAAAGTAAGTGAACCTTGTGCGTCCGTTTTGTTGCTTTCGTTCCAAAACTAATCCTTGTTTTTGTCTCATTAGGCATTTGATTTAACGGAACAAAGATATGTAGCTATTAAAATTCACCAGCTCAACAAGAACTGGAGAGAGGAGAAGAAGGAAAACTACCACAGGTCGGTCTGAAGCTTTGAATCCGATCCAAGACCATGGACCTAAACCCGGTTTGTGTTTCAGACACGCCTACAGGGAATACAGAATCCACAAAGACCTTGACCATCCGAGAATAGTCAAGCTCTACGACTACTTTTCACTTGACACAGACTCGTAAGTCCGTCACAAGTCCTGGAAACGTAAACGTGAAGAAGAGCCAACTGTGTTTTGCTCTGCTCAGATTTTGCACAGTGTTGGAGTTTTGCGAGGGCAACGATCTGGATTTTTACTTGAAGCAGAATAAGCTGATGACGGAGAAAGAGGGCCGTTCTATCGTGATGCAGATCGTCAACGCCCTCAAGTACCTCAACCAGATTCGGCCCCCCATCATCCATTACGACCTCAAACCCGGTACGTTCAGAGTCTGTGACATGTCTTCATGACGTTATGTAAAGCCTGCTTCACATAGAACCATTTTAAAATTGTCGGCCGATGTCCCTAACCTGAGAGACACGGAGAGAGAAAATCAAGTGTTTAACCCACAGACTGTAAATATTAACAGACGTAGTCAGGCCTATCTCCGCCGTTCAAACTCATGGGCCAAAAATTGGGCTCTCATGGAGTGATTCAAAATGGCCGCGGGGGCTGGAAAATGTGAAAAAACGCATCTGTGCATGCGTCAGCTGAACGAGCTCCATTTATTTAAATGAGAGATTTCTAAAGTCCACAGCGACTAAACTAGACTGGTCCAGAACACTCAGCGTTGACACACATGTGGAACGGAGCTTTGGGCCAAGAGACAACTTTTGGACCATCCTGTAAAGACGTTTTCGAGAGGTCTGCCAATGCTATATGTTAGCATTGGCTAATTCTTATTCCGGGTCCACCCCCACAGGCCCGGGGTGGTACTGCAGCATGTCAGCGCACGTCATTTTGGCCACTTTTGAGCTGGGACCCGCCCACACTGATTTAACCACTTTGGTCGTACAGTGTGTGGTGCGCCGCCACACGGCTAAATCACGCAAACCACACATCTATCTATCTCAAGCATTCCCAGGTCAGACGGAAATCTCTCGTGATCAAGCGTGACTTCAGAGTAAACAGTCATGGAGGACAAAGAGGACGCAGCGGCGATAGTTTGTTTTTAACAGAAAAAAGGCGACGGTCAAAGAAATGGAGACAACACGAGCTCAGATTATATATATTTATATATATATAATTTATGTCACTGACTGTTGTGCGATCTTTCCGGTGTTTCCTCGCCACCTCGTCTTCTGATTGGCTACAGCCGCAGTCACTGCAGCGTGCTCGTCTGTCCCCGACACCACACACAAAGAGAAATGTGCCAAAACAATCCACCATGTTGGATATCCCTGAGATCAGAGCAGTCCTGAAGTCCTTCTGAGCGACGCAGTCTGAGCACACATGAAAATACATCACATTATTACGATAATCGGAGCGTTTTTAAGATTGTCGTTAGGGGTAAAACAGGCCTTAAATCGGTCTAATTATCCTGCCGTGTGAACCAGGCTTAATGTACTTTCTCACTGATTATCATGAAACAGGAAACATCCTCTTGGTGAACGGCACGGCGTGTGGAGAGATTAAAATCACAGACTTTGGTTTGTCCAAGATCATGGAGGACGACAGCTCCGCAGACGGCATGGACCTGACGTCACAGGGCGCGGGGACGTACTGGTACAAAGCCCTTTCACATTTAAGCTTCATTTTAACCTTTTGTTCACGGTTTCGTGTCTGCTGCAGGTACCTTCCCCCGGAGTGTTTCGTGATGGGGAAAGAACCTCCCAAAATTTCCAATAAAGTGGATGTTTGGTCCGTTGGAGTAATCTTTTACCAGACGTTATACGGACGCAAGGTACCTCCCTTTTAACTTTATTATTAACTTCTGTTTTATTTAAGTTCATAAATTTACTCATTCTTTCAGCCATTTGGTCATAACCTGTCACAGCAAGATATTCTTCAAGAAAACACTATTCTAAAAGCCACTGAGGTTCACTTTCCCCCAAAGCCTGCAGTCACCACAGAAGCAAAGGTCAGATCTCACCACTGCACCATCATCATCATCATCGTCATCAGAATTACAAACAGTACTTTAATGCTTTGCTCAAGGGTCGAGTTTGTTTTTCCTTCATGTAATATAATATTTCCATGTCTCCATGATCCTAGCGTCTTCAGCCCATGCTTTTATAATATATCCATGTCTACATTGTGTCCAGGCGTTCATCCGTCGCTGCTTGGCCTACCACAAAGAGGACCGTGTAGATGTTCTACAGTTGGCGAGTGATCCTTTTCTAATGCCTCATATCAGAAGGACATTGGGCAGTACCCCCCCAGCTGCCCCCCTCCCCTCCACCTCCAGCTGTTTCAGCAGCAGTGCCTCTGACAGAAGAAGTATGTTAGAAACTGAATAAGATGCTTTATGCAGAACATCTGAAATGTCCTTAAATCTTGACTTGGAGAGGGTTTTATTGTTGGAGCACACTTCTAAAGAACGTTTGCTTTTACCGTTAATTTAAGGGTTTGTTTTGGGCTCAGTAAACCCGGTTATACCTGCATCCATAATGGTCCATACAGGGCCTTTTCTGTCACTAATCGTAAAAGCACCTGAATATTGCACAGCTGATGTTCTTAGACATGTGTCCTGTGCTGGTCGGCCTCGGGCTTTGATGAAGGGTCCGTGATCACCAAAGTTCAAGGCTCGGCCGTGTTTACATGGAAACACATGAGCATCATGTGAACGAGGAAGAGGAGTCTGTGAAAGAATTACAGGTTTTCAACTATTTTTAATATTTTCCTTGAATAACAAAGTTATTCAAAAATTCAATTAAGTCCATATTTTTTCATGAGATTTCCCCTTGGAATGTTTTGGAGCCAGAGAATGAGTGCTGTAATGACTGAGAGCTAAGATTATAATAATGAAATCATTAAAATAAATATTGTGTCATTTTGTATTCAGTGTCACACACTTTATCTGAATAAGTCTTTACTTTGCTTAATGAACAAAACACTTTAAATACACATCAGTACTGTTAAAAGAAGGTGTTTTACCAAAGTGATGTCTGGACATAATGCAGAGAACTAAGAAAAGTATAAACATATTTACAGAGAGAATAGTTTATCGATTATAAAACTGTGAGGTGACCCAGGCCAGGCCCCACTTCAGGTTCGTGAGCATGAACTTCAGAGCCTTCGTCCACTGCTCTTCAGAGTTGAACTGAGTCTTGATGGAGTAAGAGCCGCCGCTGCCTCCAGTGTCTTCGATCTTTCCTTTGTCCACGTCCATTCTGCAAAATGTACATTCACTCGTCCCATAAAGTGGATTTTTAAGACCGACTAAAGTGTTTTGTAAGTAACTGACCTGTACGGGAGGCAGAACCCTGTGTCCCCTTTCTCCACCTCCTCTTTAAACTGCTGCACACAATCCAAGAAGGCCACCATGGCATGATCAAACTTATTGTCCCAGAAAAACCTCAGGCCGCCGGAGCAGTACAACGGCAGCTCCTAAAACACCACAGAAACTTCATATTGACAGAAATATTGTGTGTATTTTGCTTCTATTCAAATGGAGTCCTACCTTTGACTTATCTGTTAGTGACTCCAGGTACGAGTGATTTCCATACGGCACAAGGCGATACCTAGTGAAGTATATTGATACAAAGGTAAACAAATATGATGACACTATATTAAATGTATTCCCAGAGCATTGTGTACCTCTGAAAGCGTAACCCCATTTTGTTGGCCAGAGCGTGGAGCAGTAACACGGTTTGGCCCCAGGCTGCGTTGATCTCGTTCCACTCCACAGGGACACTGGGGAGTCTACCCAGCCGGAAATTATTGATGGTCCCAAACTGACCACTGTGCCTACAAAAGAGAATATATAATAAGTATCTGTTGATAATCGTACAGAAGATAAAACCTCAGGCCCCTTCTGATCTGGTTTACCAAATGTGAAACGTGGCATTGAACACGTTGGTCTTTTTCAGCCGGTCCAACTGGATCTGACAATATCGCATCTGATTGTCCACACTTTTTAATTCATCGTCGAGCTCCAGTTGTTGTCGTTTAAACTCACTGTATTCTTTTTGATACCTTTTGAAGAATGGAGATAAAAGCAGTTGTTGATGTGATAAAGATAATGTGTTGGTTCAGTGCTCGGCTGCAGCACTCACTGCAGCTCCTCCGTGTCCAGCTGCTGAGAGTCCACTCTGCTCTGAGCCAGGTCCTGGGCCACAGCCGCTCTCTGCTCCTCCACAGCCTCCAGCTCCTGGATCAGAGAGTCCTCTTCCTCCTTCAGCTGCTGTAACTCTGCTAATAATGTTTCCTCTTGTTCCACCTCCAGCTGTGACAGCAGCTCCAGACACTGCCTGTATTATTTTATATTATTATATTATACACAAGGTTTCTAATGTTGTAGCTTTCCACTTACTTATAATTTTGGCATTCGTTCTCTGTAATGTTCAGCTGTGTGTCTAAGTGGTCCAACAAGGTGTCAGTACATTCTTCACACAGTGGATGGTCTACGTCAGTTTGACCAGACATGATGTCGAACAGATCTCCAGTCACCTGTTCATGTCAGATCAGAAATGTTTACACAAAAACACAAACTCTGTTAAAATGTAGAGCAACATACTTTGAGTCGACGGCTGAGATTTTCCATGGTTCCTCCGTCAGAAGCATCTCCAATCAGAGTGAAGCTGTTGGCGCTCTCCGTGGACATCATGCTGTGACACATTCAACAAAATGAACTAACTCCAAAATGATTCTTATACAACAGTTTATAAGAGTTCTCACCGAGCTGGAGGGATGTACTTTCTAGAGACACCGTCTTGTTTGGTCTCTACAAATGTTTCCTGGGAATAAAGAGAACACTTACATTTGAACTACAATTTGGCCTAATGTTGAGAAATGTTAATGCAAATCTCAAATATATCTTTATCATTTTGTGCTCAGCAAACCTCTGGTGCTGTCTCTCCTTCACTGCTGTCTGCCTGTTTGCTCGGGGTCACTGTAACCAAAGGAGCTGGAAACGACATGTTGCAAAGAAATATTAGATGCCAACAGATCCATGCGTGTGCACGTCATTATAACAGATCCATGCGTGTGCACGTCATTATAACAGATCCATGCGTGTGCACGTCATTATAACAGATCCATGCGTGTGCACGTCATTATAACAGATCCATGCGTGTGCACGTCATTATAACAGATCCGTGCGTGTACATGATAATAAGGCATGAGGATATAGAACATACCAATCAGTTCTTGAATAGTGACCCGGTCCAAGACATTGAAGGACGTGTCCAGTTTGAGCGGCTGGCAGCACCGCTGACAAACGAAGCTGACATGCATTGTCGATGACTTTGAACCCTCCATCCCACACCTTTAGAGACATTAGATGACGTTAGAGAAAGCTAATCGGCTAAAGCTAACTGAGACTGAACTCCATGGACTGAAAGTTACCTCCGTGCTGTCTCTCACCGGTTCCGTTTAGCTTTGCACGAATAATGAGTATTTCATGCGGTATTTGCGGAATATAAACAAAAACAGATGTTTTTAGCGTGACTCGTTCGGAGATCGAGCTTCCGTCGTACTTCCGTGTTGTTGTTGATCTACTTTGACGTAGGCGTCACGTGACTTGTCAGCGGCTTCACAACAAACTCCCAAAATGTGTTTTCATTCTACCAGAGATATACAGTCTCTGGTACAAACACCTGATTATAGAACTCAACTTAATATTTACAGTCTTTGGGCTCAACACGTGTCTCAACAACTGCAACATTACTGGCATTATTGGACTTTTTTCAGACACATATGGACAGGAAATATCCAACAAAAATATGAAAATGTTTGATATAGGCTCAGACACCAGTAATTAATATTATTATTAATATGATCATTATTATTATTTATTAAGGAAACAATAAAATATACAATATACAATACATACAGTATATTGCACATTGAAAAATAAATATGTACATAAAAACTTAGTGCCGGATCAACCAAGTGAGCCTTTTAATAGACTTATTACTTAAAATAATGAGATTTTTCTTGCAGTGGCCTCTCCCTCCTCGCCGCTGGATGGCGCTGTCCGGGCAGTGGCCTCTCCCTCCTCGCCGCTGGATGGCGCTGTCCGGGCGCGGGCTCTGGCTCCAGCCGCAGAAGACACTTGCAGTTGCGGGAAAACTGAAGCGAGTGGATCCAACACATGATCCAACTGTAACCTGAAAACAACGTAAACAGGAGGTAAAAACGGACTCTTTTCTGCACAAACTGACGTCACCAGTGTTAGTCACGTGTTTGTGTTGTCACGTGTTTGTGTTGTCTTGTCTTTATGCAGAGATTATGAAGAGGGAGAGGACGTGGGGGGGTTTCTGTGTTGTCAACGATATTTGTTTATTATTAACCCAAAATAACATGTTTATAGTGGCAATAACACGGTGTTTAAACGTGTTGAGTTAATATAATACAGTTTCCCCAGTTCCTTGACAGTAGCTTTATATATATTATATTATTATTCTGGTTTAATGGGTCACAGTTGCTCTGGGGGCGGGGCCAAATCTGAACAAAATTTCTGCTTTTTAACTTCTTTGCTTCATTAAATGTTTATTGGAGGATTTTCCCAAACTTTAGGAAAGAACCGCCCTCTCCACTTTTTGACAAACTCTCTGGTCTTATTTGAGGAGCACGTGTCACCAGAATGATTAACAATTTGGAGGACCAATAGTCTTGATCATCCACCCGGAAATAGAAAATCGTCCTATATGCCTTTTAATGAGCTGGTTCTCGTGAATGTGTTTAACAACTTGGATCTCTCATCGTGAGTATTAGTCTAATATATACAGATTAAATTGAATGTCTCTTTATATTTAATCTGTATTTTTTTTGTCCCAGGTTATATGCAATCGCAGCCATCTCTGTACTTTTACTACTGCTCACTACAGAGTAAACATACTTATTTTTAAAGACAGTACCTGTATATGGGCTACTTTGTCCTAGGTGCAATTATAGATATTAGTTAAGATTCTGTAAGTTTTTATGATAACTTTGCGGCATGGTGGTTGAGTGGGAAGCAAGTTCCCTTCACAGCAAAAAGGTTCTGAGTTTGAATCCCAGTCAGAGCAGGGCCTTTCTGATAGATGTATAAGTTGAAATCACAGTCAAAGTTTATTTGGGGCGATAGTGGGTCAGTTGGTAGAGCATTGGCCTTTGAGCCTGAAGGTCGTGGGTTCAAGCCCACCACAAGACCTTCTCCACCGACTCACTGATGTCTGCTGCCTGTGTCCTTGGGCAAGACACTTAACCCACTTTGCCTGTTAGCAGCGCAGAAGTGATATTTGCTTGCCTTGATGTGTATGTGTATTCATCAAACTTAAATTTGCCCATTGTGGGTCGAATAAAGGACCTTCTTCTTCTTTAAGCTTGAAAGACTCAATCAGGGATCTCCAGCATTTTTTTGTCTGGAGAGTTAATTTTGCGCATAATAAATGGAAGCGAGCGACTTTTTTTTTTTACAATCGTAATAAAACTAGTCTCTATATCTATATAACCATTGAAAATCATGGACAACACTTTTGTATAATGTGCACATTTAGTGTGTAACTCCTACTTTAATGAACACGCAGTAGTTAAACATAGTTAAATCAGATATCCAATGACTAAAATGTCATAATTTAGGATCATGTGTCCAATTCCTGAGTCCTTTGGGAGCTACAGGTTGGAGACCCCTGCTCTAAATCATTGTTGTGTGAATGTCCTGTGTATATTTTCATTTTATTCATCTTCTTCCTACTGTTTTGTAATGTGTGCAACAATGGAATTTCCCCACTGTGGGACAAATAAAGGTTCTCTGATCTTATCTTTCAGTTATCTCACTATGAAAAGACAAGACGGCCCAAAGGCAGCAGATGTCAAAAAGGGCATTTCTATTCTTTGGGAAACGTTGCAATGTCCCATTTGGTATTTTCATTATTCTATGCTTTCATTTAACAAAACTATTACAAACTTTACTGTTGAACATGTGTTTTTTTCTTGATTTTCTAAAAGCCTGGAATTAATGACCGCACCTGTATCTACAAAATGCGACCACCAGTTCTGCAAGTAAGAAAAACCGTCTTCAGAAATCCCAGTTGTATTTCCATACTTCAATTATTTTATTTAACATTTCACATTTGTTAGATTTTGTATGATGAAGCTTTTGGATAATTCTAAACAGAACAGGGCAAGTTGTCCTGTCTGCAAATCCAGAGTCACCAAAAGGTATGTTTCCTTTGTGTTATTATTGTGTTACTGTGTCAGGTTATAACAGAGTAATTACACTTCAGGAGTTTGCAAGAGAGCCCTGGTTTCCAGAAGCTTGTTGGAGGTTTACAGGACATGATCCAGGCTTATGAACATGACACTGGGACTAACTGTGCGTGTCGGTTTGTTCATACATTACATTTTTAATCTGCCTTCTGTGATTTCTGTACTTTTATTATGATTTCTTTGCAGATTTCACTGGACAGATGCTCCCCAATCATCTCGCGGTGTAAGACTCTAAGCCCTCTCTACCCTATACTGACTTGTTACTCACTTTTTAAAAACCGTGTAATGTTTGCAGTAGTACAGATGCTGCTTTATCAAAAGAGACCATGACAGATGAGGAGATGGACGATCCGGAGAATTCTTGTAGCGAAAATGTCAAAAAGTCTCAGTCCTCAACCATCAAAGGTAGTATTTAAATCTTGTAAAAGTGCAGGTACGTCTAGAAAAGTCAATATTGTAGTTGCTTGGGGGATTGTGAGCGTATTTCTGTATATGATGGATTTATCGCTGATGTGGATTATCAGACAAAGTGCTCAGAGCATCAAAGTGTGTCTGTTGGAATCAAGGTCTTCTTCAAGTTTTAGTTTTCCATTGTAGCAAAAAGAACGCAGCAAAAGTAGTTTTTTCCCCCTATTCTTTGGCTGTGGTTTGACTCATAATCAGACCCAGAACGGTGATGAAACTACCATCTACAGCGCACTACCTGCTGCTGCCCCCGGAGGCTCAAAACATTTATGTCTTGTGAATGTATTGCTTTTGTTTTTAGCCCAAAATGGATTTGCCAGACTCATGGGACTGGAAGACTCGAGCCCACTGACGAAGGACGAAAACGAAGGCCTGGACAGTGGCCTTGGGGGGCCCACCGTCACCACAAACCACCTCAATATAATAACAGAAAGTCAAGCTAGCCAAGAAGAATGCCCAACGCTCAAAACAAGAGTTCTTATAAATACTTCTAATCTGCCGCCATTGATACTGGAGGAAGAGAATACTCAAAAAGAGGAAGACGAAGAGTTTGACGATGAGCTTTCTGCTAAAAAGTTATCAAGGAAAAAACACAAAAAATCTTCGGATCCAGAAAAGATACTAAAGCGACGTCAGGAGAAAAGCGTGGAAAAGGTTCGAGAGTGGCTTCTGAACGTCCCGAACGAGGAGGACATCGAGTTGGGCAAACCCGACAAGAAGGCTCAATATTTAGACGAATCCGATACGTTTTCATCTTCTTCAACAATCGACGTTCAGGATGAAAACTACGAAATTCTTTTTGGTGAGAACGAAGAACCGACAAAAACCCTCGAAGATCAAGTGTTCGGGGCGGTGTACAAGAGGGCGAAAAAACGAAACGAAAAAGAAGTTTCAAAACCAACTGATGTTTCCTCAACAACTCGTCTCAAGTCAAGCAGTTATCCAGATCCGCTAGAGAAGGAAGCAGCGAAAGAACCTGAAGTTCCCGACAGTAGTGATAAATTTAAAGGGCCAGTACGCATGGAAACAGAAGCCCAAGAGATGAATGAGATACATGATGTCATCAATGTTTGCCAAGAAGAAAAAGTTGCTTCTCCCGTGCCCGAAACTGGAACTAGTCGCAAGCAAAGGACAAATACAAGAAAGAAAATGCTTAATGTTTTGGAGGAGGTAGATATTGACCTCCAAGAACAAGCCAAGATCGAACCAGAAAGTACGGAGCAGAAGAAAACTGACAAGAGGAAAGGACGGCTATCGAAGTCATCCAAAGTCAAGTCCGGTAGAGTCGCTAAGCCTCTTGATTTAGTTGAAGTTAAAAATGGTGAGGCGGCTGGGGCTGAACAAGCTAAATCTAAATTGGAATCCGGTCAAGTCCAGGTGCATATCGAGAATTACCCGAGCAGCGAAGAGCAAGACGCTGCTCTTGTGAAAAGCACCAGGAGAAGCCGGAGACTTCAAAGCTTTGTGGAAGAGATTAAAGCCAGTACAAACAAAAGGAAATTAAAAGTAACCAAATCTCACAAAGCTTCTGACGATGTTGAAGTTTTGGAGGCGGATACTCAGTCTACGAAACGAGCAAAGATAAACGGGTGTATTTATGCGGAAGATTTGGGTGGGATTGAAAAAGTGGCGTCTGGAGAACGGCCGAAGATTTTGAAGCAATCTCTCCAAGAAGTCCCAAATGTAGACACGTCATCGGGAAGCTGTCAAGAGCAAGTTGCACCGGATTGTCCAAAAACTCCCAGTGGTGACGTCAACACTGTTCAGGAAAGCGATATTCAGACTGATCCCAACGATGTCCAGTCGGAGCCGAAGGTAGAACTGGAAGAACAGATGGAAGAGGACAAGAGCGACAGTGAGATAGACACGGAGCAGCTTCTCAGGAGTTTTAAAGCCACTAAAAGAAAATCCTTTCACCTCGAAGCCCCCAATGTTAAAAGAAGTTGTAGCTTGGATAAAAGAAATGAAGTTGGAGAAGTTGAAAAGACACCAGTCCAAGATGGATGTCACGCCCATTCCAACTCTCTATTCAGTGATGTGATTCCTCCATCTCCCACGATGGAACTGAACAAAGGCGAATTTGACGTTCCCGGCAAGGCCATTTCTGGAAACTGTCTCAAAAGTTCTACCAGTGGTGCGCTTAGTCCGAATAAAGTTACAGAATTGACAACGCAAAGTCCTCACCTGTCCATCATGCCTCAAATAGACAACTCCGGGATGTGTTTTACAGCTGGGAATAGAAAGTCTGACAGCGTAGGGCCCAAGATGCAGTCCACAAAACGCTCTCACATTTCAGAAAGTCAACGTTCCAAAGTAGCAGAGAACAGCCTCTCTCTGCTGGATCCAACGTCCACAAAAAACCATTCTCCCGCCAATGCCGCTCAACGTTTGTCAAACACAGATTGCTCCTTAACGCCCGATGGCCTTTTGACGCGCTCCCTCCCGAATGTGGAAGAGGCAGACTGCGACGAAAGCAGCAGCGCCCAGTCTTCCCTGCAAAACAACCAGAGAAGAAGAAGTCGCAGATTGGAGCCGACGCCTGAGGTTGAAAGCAGTGGATTGAAAGAGGAATTACCAAGTCTGGCCCAGATTCTTAAGCGTGACTTGAGGATCGGCCGAGATGGAAGTCAACGGGGAAAAACATCCTCTGGTGACATGGACAAACCTTTAACGGATGAGGATCTGGTGAGCCGCCCGCCGCCGTGTCCCAGTCCAGACTACGTCAACTCCAGCCAAGCGTCCGTCGACTTGTTCGGGACACCAGAAGAATGTAAGTATCTTTTAAATCCTTAAATTATGTTCCATTGTTTAACTAATTACTAAGATTGGTTATGTATTTGTCTTTCTGGACCGGTAAATGCTTGTTTTTTTTCTAATTTGCTCTCTGTAAATCAATTATGTTCTGTTGAAATGTTGATCGATATAAAAATACATTGATTGGCTCTGACTTCAGCAGGTGACGTTCCAGTGATGAGTGCGTCCGTGGAGATGTCACAGTTCTCCAGTGAAGTTCTGGTAACGCAGGTAAATGATTATGAGGAGAGTCATAAATGCATTGGATACTGATTCAAAATGGCAAAAACATTTTTGAAAATGGACTGACTGCACCTTGATTAGCAGCGCTTATTTCGCAATCGCGTTAGCTAGCAATGTTGTCAGAAAATTACCACGGTTTATCACAGTAGAGTGTGGACTGATGTAGGCTGATAATCCGTCTAGTGGTTATATTATATTCGTATTTATTAGGCCTCTAGAGACTTGAGGACTTAAATGGAAAAATACTTTTTGAGTTCTGAAAGTAAGCAATAAAAAGGAAAACATGTCCTTAGTGTGAGGTTACATGATGTTATTAAAGTAAGTAAGTACATTTGTCTCTAAACCCCACTCCCATCTCTGTGTGGAGTCCAGGTCTGTAAATGTACACGGTCATGTATCTACATTAGAATCACTTTAGATGATTCTATAACATCAGCCCAGGGACTTCAGCTTATATATTATACATTTCCCCTGTGGTTTTACGATAAGTTCATTTTATTGATCTCACACTGGAGAAATGTCCATCCATCCATCCGTTTCCATCCATTTTCTGCCCTTTAATCCATTTCTGGGTCAGGGGTGGCAGTCAGAGATGCCACCCAAGTCTCATAGCACCAGCCCCTCACTGACCCTCTGCAGGTGGTGAGTCCACAGGAGGACGGCTGCTCTCTGAGTATGAGCATAGCCTTGATCTTTCAGTGGGGGCTTTGGGCAAAGTGGGGTTAAGTGTCTTGCCCAAGGACACAACAACAGCAGTCATCAGTGGGAGTCGGTGGAGAAGGTGCAGAGGTGGCCAAATGTCACATTTGGCACAGATAGAATCTCTCAGATTGTGCAAAAGACAGAAGTGTAAAACATGTAGTCTGTGCAGGATATAATTATATACAATAATAAAGTGGCGATAGCAGCTGGTTCTTCAGTCCTAGTGCAGGTCATAGTGACTTCATTTGTGGGCTGCAGTTCTCCCTCTGGCCTGCAGAGGGCAGTGTCCACACTCCTCACACTGGGCTGTCAGCTGTGAGATGACGGACTGCTCCTCTCTGTGAAAAACGTGGCCCTCAGCAGCTTTTCTAAATTGCGTTTCATTTACGTGTGAGGAGGCACGGCCGCAGAGATGATTCCTGTTTGCTCCCTCATTCGTTTTGGACCCCGCTGCTTTTATCTCCTCATTTGATTCGTGGAGAAGTTTCACGCCCAGTCGTTCAGCATGAGCCCATAATTACACTCATTTATACAGCAGAACGTACGGCTGTATTTATACTGAGGACTTTAGATGCATTCAGCCGCCAGAAGTCATTCCTTAGTTGATTCATAATGTGCACAGTAAAATAATGTGTTGGTGCCTTTTCTGTTTTTATTAAATACTGCAGCTAGAACAAATTTAGTTATATATATTTTTTATATTTCGAAAAAAATCTTCCTGGATAGTAATTGGTTTTATATATTACTTTTTTAGACGCCCAAAGTCTCTTCACATGTCATTATTCTTTCACTCCATACACGGTGGTGATAAACTACTGTAGCCACAGCTGCCCTGGGGCACACTGACAGAAGCAAGGCAACCAGTCTGTGCCATTGGCCCCTCCCACCACCACCAACCATTCACACACACACCAGACTCATTCTAATGTGGGGGAAGTGTCTTGTCTAAGGACACAACAGCAGTTTGACACTTTACAGCCACAGCCGCCCCACTGTGGCACCTGCTGTTCCCAGAGGTTAAGTGTCTTGCCCAAGGACACAACAACAGCAGACAGTGGTAGTTGTTGAAGGTTTTGTTGTGGGATTGAAACCCACAACCTTCAGGCTCTAAGGCCAATGCTCTACAACTAAGTCACTGTAGTAAATAAAAATACCGGCTTCTTTGCGTTTAGATCAATGTGGAAAATAATGCAAATCTCCTAACTGTAAAATTAGCCTTTTGCAAGTTTATTTTAATTCTTATTTTTCCCACATACTGTAACTACATTCACAACATCAGCTTTTGCGCCTGAAATATTTGTCGGGAGCTTTGTGGTTTTCCCTGTAGCCATAAATTGGTTCTACGAGGACAGAACAAACCCATTCACAGTGTATTTTTCTGTAATCATTTCACTATGTAATTCCTGCTATCCCTCCTGTAAAGCCTAAATCTCATTCGCAGCCATTTTCTTTTGCCACTTGATTATTATCGCTCGGAATAATGTCTCTTTCTATTTCATTATTTGGCTTTTGAGATGTTCTGCTCCCGTCTGCTAACAAAATGGCTCAAAAACACATTTCTTTTCCATTATTTCTTCAGCAAAAGGAGGAAATGCAGAAGGAGCTGGTGAGGCTGGAGAAGCTGATGGCTCTAGTCTCGGAGGTGCTCCACGAGAAAGAGAACGCCCCCGAAAACAACACTGAGAAAAGTCACAAAACTCAAGGTGGAACTTTATTTTAAGGCCTAACGTTAGCACTGCAGCTACAGATGGACCGCTGAATGTTCTCTCCCCACAGCCCCAGACACCGCTGTCCCACAAACATCTCATGAAGACTCAGGACTGGACTCAAAGAAGTAAGTCTTGTGCTTTTGTTTTAAAGTTTGACGGTTTTTAACCCTCCAAGGTCTAGGGTAATTTTGGGGAACCTTCCTCGCCTGGTTTTCTTTGTGTATAATTGCTCATAAAATAATCATTTTTTGATGCAGAGTCAAGCAGTATACTTTGTTTTTTTCAGTACAACCTGGGGTTTTAGAATATATTTTAGAGCTGTCATATCAATTATATAAAAAATTTGGAGTCATGAAGACAAAGAAAAAATCAAAACGGAAAATCAATTTCACAAAATAGTATTGAAAAACACAATAAAATGCTATAAACAACTTTTTAGACTCCATAGAAATGTTATTTATGGTCTTGGGGATAATGGGGAAAAAAATTGAATCTGTAACTATTATACTTTTTACAAAATTCCTCTATAAAAGCCAAAAACGCTGTACTCCTGATGCCCTTCCTCAAGCAGTTTGTCTATGAGGCTGTGGTTGCTTCTGTATCACAGCTGTAAAATATGTAAAACAAAAGAAACAAAGACAACAAAAAAAACAACATCTAATTTATATATACAAATACATTATATACACATAATATAATTTTATTGTATTTATTATTGTCTATTCTCAATAATGCGAACTCCTCTGGTTCCTCTGAGCGCTGCTGCCTGTGCTGCAACAAGTAAACACAGAGGAGTGAGAGATCTCACTCTCTGACGATCTTTGTCTGAGTCCCCGTGTGTGTAAACAACTTTACATGCGGCTGTGCCTGGCTCACGGGGCACCGCTTGAAGATCCCTTTGGGGGACTGACTTTCATACACACGTAGTTTATCCCCCGTATGTAGCAGATAAAAAAAGTAAGTCGCTAGCGTTCACCGTTCGCGAGAAAATTGATCATTTGTAAAACATGTGCGCCACCATCGTCGGTGATGGCATCGTCTTTTAAGGGTTAAGAGATTATCCCAAACTTACTCTTTTTGTAAGCGATAATCCTAAACTCCCAAAACTGTGGGCTAGTGGTAGTTATTTCAATGACTTGGCTGTTAAAGGAGCTGTACCCGTTTCTGTAAGGTTTGAATGTTTAGCCCCGCCCCCAACTCGCTCACAGGCTTCTCATTTCCCCTACGCTCTCATCCCACGGAGCCATCTAGATAGTCCGAGCGTAGATAGTCCGAGCGCAGATAGTCCGAGCGTAGATAGTCCGAGCGTAGATAGTCCGAGCGTAGATAGTCCGAGCGTAGATAGTCCGAGCGTAGATAGTCCGAGCGTAGATAGTCTGAGCGTAGATAGTCCGAGCGTAGATAGTCCGAGCGTAGATAGTCCGAGCGTAGATAGTCCGAGCGTAGATAGTCCGAGCGTAGATAGTCCGAGCGTAGATAGTCCGAGCGTAGATAGTCCGAGCGCAGATAGTCCGAGCGCAGATAGTCCGAGCGCAGATAGTCCGAGCGCAGATAGTCCGAGCGCAGATAGTCCGAGCGCAGATAGTCTGAGCGCAGATAGTCTGAGCGTAGATAGTCCGAGCGTAGATAGTCCGAGCGTAGATAGTCCGAGCGTAGATAGTCCGAGCGTAGATAGTCCGAGCGTAGATAGTCCGAGCGTAGATAGTCCGAGCGTAGATAGTCCGAGGCGGTCCCGCAGGTCTCTCCCATAGACCAGTCTCTCCAGAGGATACGATGTAAGCTAGCTCTGTTCAGGGCTTGGTTTCTTCTTTGAACACCCACTCTCTGTCTGGGGGTTAATTTCAAAGTCTGAATATTTCGAAGCGTCTTGGGGCCAGCTATGAATGAGGCCAGAGGACTATGAGCACCGATACAACAGTTTTAGTAATGTTGATAAAGATAATTAGATAAATACTTTATTGATCCCAAAGAAAATAGCGCAATAGTCTCTCGCTCATGTTCCCACAAACAGCAGGATAAAGTCAAAGTGATAATAAATACATGAAAAGAGAAGTTAAGGCAGTGCAAGATAATTTTCAAGACATTTCCCTGTCTGCACGGTGGCTGAGTGGTTAGCTCTCTTGATTCTCAGCAAAAGAAGGTCCTGGGTTCGAATCCCGGTTGGAACAGGGCCTTTCTGAGTGGAGTTTGCATGTTCTCCCCGTGTCTGCGTAGGCTTTCTCCAGGTTCTCCGGTTTCCCCTACCACAAAAAACATGTACAATAGGTGTGAATGTAATGAGTGAGTGGATGGTGTTTGGTCGGAGGCTTTGATGGTCCAGTGGTCTGTAAAATGAGCTATAAACATATACTAACACTTACTAACTTACTGACATACTTATTCTCTCCTCCCCCTCTGTTCCTCCCTGAAGTGGATTTGTTATGAAGCCTGATGGCGTTGGAGACTTTTCTTTAAAATTCTTTCTATGTAAACAAACATATATTTGAAGGTAATCTCATGTATTTCACACATTTTGAGAAATAACTGAAATCGTCACAGACCCTTCTGGACAGCGGCCTGGCTTCCCACCATTCATGCCTTTGTTAATGATGTTAATATAATGTTTTAAAAGTTACTTACACATCCCCAAAATGATCTCCTGAATCATAATAAGTGAAGGGAATCTGCATTAAAACATCCGAGTCCTTAAATGCAAACTGTTCCATACTGACAGACAATAGGCTGATTTCATTTTCCCCGTCACACACTCGCGCTATATTTCTATAAAGCCAACAATGTAAAATGCAAGTGGCATGTAATTACTTTTGTCCATTGTTGAAGTGAAGGAGAAAGTTGGGATCACAGGCGTCTCCAGAGGACGGGCGGATAATCTCACTAATGAACCCAGAATGTGCTTATGCCGTGGCGAATAAAGTCATTACAGGCCGCATCTTGTATGTCATTTAGAGCACTTAAAGAGAAACTTGTGTTGCCACGGTGATTCATCTCCCCCTCCCCCTCCCCCCTACCTCCTGCCTCGCTAAGTGCAGGGATGAAAACAAAGCAGCGTTGTATTATGGGATATGACTCGGCACTATAAATATGACCCTTATTATTTCATGACTGCTCGGGCGAGACCAGGAACAAGGTGTAACAAGTTCTCGTTGAGCTCTTTCAGCTCATGGTAATTTAGATGTAGGCACAATGGGGGGAGTCTGTTTGAGAAGAGAAGAACACAAACAGCAGAGAAATGGGGAAAAGACCTTGAACAATGTGCGAGAAAGAAGACATTTCAATAGAAAATATCAGACTCTGACACTTCTGGTTTCCACCTGAAGCTTCAGAGAATGTTTGTGTGGATCTACTTTACTCATCAGAAAGTAGATCCACACAAAATATATGATTGTATAAAATGTATTTGTGTGAATCCATTATTAAAGTAGCAATATGTAAGATTTTCATGTCAAATCATCATTAAAGGGCCCTAATCTGTCATCATTAAAGGGCCCTAATCTGTCGGGCCCTAATCTGTCGTTATTAAAGGGCCCTAATCTGTCATCATTAAAGGGCCCTAATCTGTCATAATAATAAACGGCTCTTTTCCAATACTTCTTTAACTGATAACAGTCGTTCAGAGATATTTGAATTTCTAAATTACTTTTCCAGCCCCTAAATCTTGTTATTGTTTTCATTTCGATGTCCCGCCCTCCACTGTTTCACCAATCAGAAAGTCTGTGATCCGGGCGCCAGAACTCACCGCGTGGAGCTAATCTCACTGGTAAAGTACCATGTGGCGCAGAACTAAAAAAGGTCTCGTTATGATTCTCAAATCATTAACGACAAAACAAGGAATAAAAGCAGGATTTCTATCTTTGTGAAAAAGGTGTTGGTTATAGATTTGTTGTTGACAAAACTCTTGTCTATTCAGCTGTTATGGTCCCAGCTGGATTCGTCTGCATATCTGGCAACCTGAGTCAGGGAGAGTGGGAGAGGCTGCAGTACCACTTTTGGCCACACTTTTACACACTGCTCCTTTAAATGTGTCATTGATGGATAAGATAAGATAAACTTTATAGATCTGACAATAGAGAAACTTGCTCTTAATCTGAAATGTCAAATATGCACTGCCGGACTCTTTATACATGTGTTTTCCAGCTCTTGGTTTCAGTCACTTCCAAAGCTGTAAATGTACAATTATTGTTAACATCTGTTCTCTTCAGTGCTCGTCCTCAAAGTCCTGGCCTTAGTCCCCGACAGCGTCCGTCTGAGGCCAAAGCCGAGACCCAGACCAGTGCCCGGGACCCGCCCCCTGACCCCACCACAGATACTGGTAAAGTGGTGTTATCTGCCCCGAAATCTACACATTTTACCTTCTTTTCCAATGTTCAATTCTATTTATACTTGTATCGCCCTAAATCACAGCAGTAGAACCTTTTAAAATATACAGCTGCTACTTCAAGGATTTCATTTATTGTTAGTGATTTTTGCACAATAAACGAGGGACTACTGTAAATAGACCAAACCCTCCCATGTTTTCTTCAACATGTACAGTCCTGAATACTGTTTAATTTCTCTCATTCCAGCCTGTAAAGATTTGGAAGCAGCTGAAACCAGGACAGCCTCCACTTCAACAACAACAATCCAGAATCAAAAGTCGCGCGAGTCTCCGTCTGAGGATAAAGAAAACGCTCCCAACGACTCGGGGAATCTCAAAATGGTGCTGGTGTCGTCAGGTCTGAGGCCCAGCGAACAGGTTCCACTCTTTTACCATGATGCTAATCTGTGCAGGATGAGGAGGGCCTGGGACTCTCTGTGAACTTCTGTTTTCTGCTCAGATGAAGGTGAAAAAGTTTGCAAAAAGAATTGGTTCCCGTGTGGTTGCCCAGGTTACGCCCGAAGTTACCCACATTATTATGCACACAAGTAAGTACCAGAGAACGCATGTCTGCTCTAATTTGTCTGTCGTGATTCCAAGGATTATATCTGTTTTTTTCACCTCTATGAGAAAACATGACTCCTCCCATTGCTTCTGTTTGGTTCTGATCTCACACATTGGTTAAAAACAGATCACACATGTACAATAATAATAATAATAGGATTAGGAAGATATTATTTATTTTGTAAAATCTGAGTTGTAAGTAGGGGTGGGATTACACAAGATTTTTAAACTTCTTCCCACTCCTCTTTTGGAAATCAATTGTTTATTTATTTTGCATAATCAGTGTATAATTACACTGCTTTTGTTTTGTTTTTCTCATCTCAAATGTCCAAATAAAACATTCATTCATTCAATAATACATTTTCTTTATATTGCACCTTACATTTCCAGGCAAGGTATACGAATGGATTCTTTCACATTTTAAGTTAGTTTAAATGTTGATAATGTAACTTAAGCTGGTCTTCAAGATCATTCCACGTTTTTACTCCAATGACAAACACACATCGATCTTTAATGCTAGTTGTTGACGCTTAAGGCATCAATGTTAAGGAATGTGCATTGTCCCAACTCAATAAATAAATGATAAGATGAAAAAATAAAAACGGTCAGTGGATTCGAAGATCAAATGTCTTCTCCACGATATCTCGTCTTGTCCCTGGTTCCAGGTTTGTCCCGCCCCCCCCCCCCCTCCTTTGCTTGTTGTTAATTAGCCCTGATTCATTATTTTTTTAATTTCAAAGCTCCTGAAACCACTTCATTAACGACTTCAGACAAATAAGACGTGTCTCTTTAATACCAGCCGTTTCCTGGCGACGAGGATCTAAAAACACACAGATCTCACACAAGATTCTTACAGTGTTTTGACAGAGAAATGTATTTATAAGATTAGACTGAGTTTATTGATCCCTGATGGAGAAATGTCACATTTGGCACAGATATTTTTATTTAAGTCCCATTGAGATTAAGAACCTCTTTTTCAAAGGAGTCCTGGACAAAAGTTACATACAAATACATCCATCCATTTTCTTCCCCTTAAAGCTGCACTAACTGACTTTGGGATTTTGAAGAGAGCGGACTCGCTGGCCTCTCTCTTTCTGCTCCCCTCCCCGCACCCACGAAGCTATCGCCCCCCTCACACACTCACTGTTGGGACGGAGTTAGCGTATCCCAATATGGATAATACACGAATATGGATTTGCACGTGGATGGCGTGACCATAGAACGATAGAACCGGGAAGCGCGGAGGAACGGGACTTTCATTTGGATGGCTGTCTCGCTGTGTAAGCAGTAACCGGTGACGAAGACACACAAAGCTTCAGGTTAGCTCCGCCGCTTGTTGTGCTAACTCAGCCGTCTATGCTAACAGGGACCTGTAGATTTCTCACGAAAGTGGGGGCCAGTGGTGCGCTGCTATTGGTCACAATCTGCGACCCGAAACACATTCTCTTCCTTGTTTCATCAAAACTCGATCTAAAATATAATGTCACGCCAGCACAAATCTGCGCTACTTTTTCTTCAAAATGATGTATATCCCAATGCACTACATGGACATGGATAGCATTTTCGTAATGAATACAAAAATAAAGTCAGTTAGTGCAGCTTTAATCCATTTCTGGATCGGGGGGGTGGCAGTCAGAGCACCAGCCCCTCACTGATCCTCCTGCAGGTGCTGAGTCCACAGGAGCTGAGATATTTCAGCGGGGGTTTCAGGCAAAGTCTGGTTAAGTGTCTTGCCCAAGGACACAACGACAGCAGACATCAGTGGGAGTCGTGAAGTAGGTCTTATGGTGGACTCGAACCCACGACCTTCAGGCTCAAAGGTCAATGCTCTACCAACTGAGCCACTGTCACCCCTACAATTACATACAGATTACAGATTATAAAACGGTCAATGAGGATGTCTCAAGTGCTAAAGGTCTCATGTTGAAGGTTAAATATATTCTGTGCAGGATATAGTTATGTACAATAGCAGTCCTAGTGCGTTAGTGACAAAGTGACTCATTGTACAGTCTGACAGCAGTGGGAATAATTGATCTATTGTTTAGTTAGTATTGTGTTGTATATTCATAATTCAGGATGTTTTCTAACACATGGTTATTGTTGTGTGGGATTATTCTCTGAAGTCGTACCTTCCTAACGACAGGTCTGCAGCGCGTTGTCAGGCAACGACCAAATGTTTAATTATATGAACTGATCATGGACGTAAACGGCTCCGTCTCATTGGCCGGATAAGTGGCTGCTGTAATGAAATGATTTGAAGATTCTGTTTGTATTTGCTGTCGGTAAATCCGTCTGAATCCACAGAAGAGAAACGTAGCCAACACTAATGTTTATATTAATCTGTGTTCGTAGGTTATTGTTCTAAAGACTGCAGTGGTTTTCCTTCATAAACGTTCACACCACAAACCTATTTGTTTATTTGAACTACTGTTTTCTAGTGAATACGATCCCTGCTGCAGTGTGATGGAAGTGATTTTGTCCACAGATTATTGTCATGAGATTAGAGATGTGTATTTGTTCCACAGCGGGGAAATTGCAGTTGTGTCTGAATTAATTCAATACATCAATATTTGTTTTAGGACAAATTAAATGTTGATTTTTGTACAAATCAATTCAATTCACCCTCGCTGTGTGAAGGAGAGGTTCCGTAGGTCTTTCCTTCCTGCTGCTGTCAGACTGTACAATGAGAACTGCTGAGCCTGTAAATTTCATTCATAAAAACTAAATCATGTGCAACTTCAGAAAGTCCATGTCACTTTACTTTATGTACTTATTACCCTGCCCTGTATGTACGGTATATAACTGCACTACTACATACATATCAGTTTGAAAGGCTGGTGTCGAAGCATTTACAGCTAGTTAAGCTAGTTCCTGTCTGTGCGCTGCAACAATAAAGGATCTCATATCTTAAAGTGCTTCACAAGAGCAAATAAAAACATAGATCAAAATACATAAGAACAGAAATAAGCAATAAGAGATTTCAATATACAACCATTCATTCTGAAGCACAATGGTTTTGGGTTTAAAACTATTAAAATGGGGGTTTAAAAACTGAAATATCAGTTGTATGCACAACAGGAGGCCAGTCCCTGTGCTCCTCAGAGTCCACAGCAGGATGCCAGTCCCTGTGCTCCTCAGAGTCCCAGCAGGAGGCCAGTCCCTGTGCTCCTCAGAGTCCCAGCAGTAGTCCAGTCCCTGTGCTCCTCAGAGTCCCAGCAGGAGGCCATTCCTGCTGGTCCCATAATCTGCTGGTTCTGTAATCTGATGGTCTCGTAATTTTCCATAATCTGCTGGTTCCATAATCTGCTGTTTTCATAATTTTCCATAATCTGCTGGTCCAATAATCTGATGGTTCCATAATTTTATGGTTCTATAATCTGCTGGTTCCATAATCTGCTAGTTCCATAATCTGCTGGTTCCATAATCTGCTTCTCTTCTGTTGCAGACGAGCAGCTGGTCTGTGAGCGTACTCTGAAATACTTTCTTGGTATCGCCGGGAGAAAGTGGGTCGTGAGTTTCCAGTGTGAGTCTCCTCTCTCTGAACAATTAACATAATGGATTTCAAGTGTGACATAATTTCCCAACCTCCTTTTTGCTTCACATCATAATCTGGAAATGTTCCTTTTTCCACAGGGATCTCTGAGTGCTTCAAACAAAAGAAGCTCCTGGATGAGGTCGGTGGATTCTGATTTTAGGATTACATTTCCATCTGTCTATACCTCATTTATTATATCCGATCCTTTTGCTTTCTCTGCCGCGGCCTTTGGCACCGAGCGACTCGTGAATCACCATTTGTCTTGATTAGGATTGTCATTAAATTAAAGCGTCCATCTGCTTTTCATTATGACTTTTAGTGACAATTTGAGTTGAACAATAGAAATATATGCATGACTTTTCTCCTTTTGAAACAGAGCCTTTATGAAGTGAAGGGAGATGTAGTGAATGGGCAGAACCACCAGGGGGCGATGAGAGCACGGACCACCGCCGACGATCACGTAAGTGTTTGTGTTGGTTACTTCTACTTTTTAGTTACGTCCATTTCTTATGAAATCTCGCGGGAGGGTCCCGGCTCCAAAAGGTCCACGAGACCTGACATACTGCAATACCACCCCGGGCCTGTGGGGGTGTACCCGGAAAGAGAATTACCCAATGCTTTTTTTATGAAGTCTTCTTTCCTCTTGAAAACATCTTTACTGGATGGTCCAAAAGTGGCTCTTGATCCTCTTGGTATTTTGGACCAGTCTAGTTTAGCCGCTGTGGACTTTTGAATGCACTTGTTAGCTTAATGCGGCTAGAGCAGCTAACACATGCACAAATGCGTTTTTTCACCTTTTCCTGTGTGAGGGGCCATTATGAAAAAGCCCACAGAAGCCAAAAGTAATATCACATTAGTCCCGGTTGGAGCAGGGTCTGATTTCTGAGTTTGCATGTTCTCCCAGTGACTGCATGGGTTTCCTCCGGGTGCTCCGGTTTCCCCTACCAGTAAAAACATAACAGAAGCCTGAGTGACTTCAGGGTCAAATGCAGTGGACAAATTTCCCTACAGGGATAATAAAATGCACATTTACATTTACAGACATCATATCATAAAAATCATGTTAGAATAATGAATCTAGAATGTATGTCATCAGTCGATATTGTCCAGATCTGGTCTCGATCTCATGGACCCAACCCAGGTCTGGTCCCGACGCCTCTTAGGATAAAAATAACCTAAAGAATGATCGTCTTCAGCCGAGTCGGAGCCGGAGATGTCGGTGCAAATTACAATCCGAGTCAGCAATAATCACAGAGGTCGTCTCCCGCTGCTCGCAGTCCGTCACCGACCAAGTAAATGTTTGGACGTTTACAAACTCAAAACCAACTTTATTGTGGAGAACTTGGCCGGGGATTAAACAGAAATGTAACAGTTGGCGGAAACAAAACGCATCCATCTCTGTCCCTGCTGTTCTCAGACCGCCACATGTCGCAGAAGTATCCAGGACTATAATGATCCACAATGGTAATGATGCTTATTGCCACGGTAACGGCTTTAAAGCATTTGATGTAGAACGAACTGGGCCCTAAAAGGCACTGGCAGTTGTATTAGTATTTCTTCAGAATATTAGGCCTCTGTGAAGTCCGGGTGTAATCTCTGTCTTTCTCTCTCTCTTTGTCTCTCTCTCTCTCTGTGTGTCTCTCTCTCAAACACACACTGTCTCTCTTGTCTCTCTCTCTCGGTCTCTTTCTCTCTCTTTTTGTCTCTCTCTCTCTGTCTTTCTGTGTCTCTCTCTCTCTGTGTCTCTGTCTTTGTCTCTCTCTCTCTCTCTCTCTGTGTCTCTGTCTTTCTGTGTCTCTCTCTCTCTCTCTGTGTCTCTCTCTCGCTCTCTCTCTCTGTCTTTGTCTCTCTCTCTCTCTCTCTCTCTGTGTCTCTCTCTCACACACTGTCTCTCTCTCTCTCTGTGTGTCTCTCTCTCAAACACACACTGTCTCTCTTGTCTCTCTCTCTCGGTCTCTTTCTCTCTCTTTTTGTCTCTCTCTCTCTGTCTTTCTGTGTCTCTCTCTCTCTGTGTCTCTGTCTTTGTCTCTCTCTCTCTCTCTCTCTGTGTCTCTGTCTTTCTGTGTCTCTCTCTCTCTCTCTCTCTGTGTCTCTGTCTTTCTGTGTCTCTCTCTCTCTCTCTGTGTCTCTCTCTCGCTCTCTCTCTCTGTCTTTGTCTCTCTCTCTCTCTCTCTCTCTCTGTGTCTCTCTCTCACACACTGTCTCTCTCTCTCTCTGTGTGTCTCTCTCTCACACACTGTCTCTCTCTCGCTCTCTCTCTCTCTGTGTCTCTGTCTTTGTCTCTCTCTCTCTCTCTGTGTCTCTCTCTCTCAAACACACACTGTCTCTCTTGTCTCTCTCTCTCGGTCTCTCTCTGTTTCTCTGTCTCTTTATGTCTTTCTCTGTCTCTCTCTCTGTGTCTGTCTGTCTCTCTTGCTTGCTCTCTCTCTGTCTGTCTGTCTGTCTGTCTCTCTCTCTCACACACACATTGTCTCTCTCGCTCTCTCTCTCTCTGTGTCTCTGTCTTTGTCTCTCTCTGTCTCTCTCTCACACACACTGTCTCTCTCTCACTCTGGCTCACGCTCTCTGTATCTCTCTCACACTGGCTCTCTCTCACACACACTGTCTCTCTCTCACACACACTGTCTCTCTCTCACTCTGGCTCACGCTCTCTGTATCTCTCACACTGGCACTGTCTCTCTCTCTGTCTCTCTCTGTGTCTGTCTGTCTCTCTTACTTGCTCTCTCTGTGGTGTTGTGTTGTAGCTGCTGATGAGAGGATACAGGGTCTGCCTCCATGGGCCGTTCACCGCCATGACCACAGGTAACACTCACTTTATGGTAAAACGACCGGGTTCTTTTCAGACACTTGTAATTGCTTTGATGTTGTAGCCTCTCTCTGCTTTTCACACAAATGATGCGCTTCCTTTTTGAAGTGGTCTTTAGGACGGATACAGACATGTAATTACACCACAAAGTACATGTTTTAGTTGTTTTCGTACATATGAAAGCAGATATGCCCATTTTGAAATTATATAAAATCTTCCGGTGCTATTTTGATGCTAACTACAAACAATGCAGATGGGTGTTGGTTTGAGTCTCATCTAGATCGACATGTACTGATTCCCACTTCTTCTTACAAAATTATTTTTCTTAATCAATCATAAAGTCAATGCTGAATAAGTGGTGGGTCGATCATTATGCAGGAAATGTAGATCCAGTTATTCTTGGAGCCACATCAGTAATTCAAGATTCAAGAATTTATTTGCCATTTGCTGTAAAACCACATTGGAAAAACTGCAAGACTTCCCCAGTGTGCACCATTTGAATGTTATCACTATTTACCAGGCCAGACCTACCCTGGCCTTATCCATCCGTACTCTCCGCTCAATCATCATGTCCTGCCTGTAACGTCTGGGTCTGGTCCCTGTGTCTGTGATTACAGTCTGTTTAATCCCATCCGACCAATCAGAGAGCGCGGGAGGCGGGTCTTGTAGTTAGATGTGGGTGATGTCAAGAGTTTGCGTCGAACGGGCAGGTTGTAGTTTGACGAAGAATGCGATAGTAAAGTATTCTGTTCTGGTTCTATCAAGAAACTGAAGCCGGAGCAAGAGGAATGTTTAGCAAATGTAATCACTGCAAATATTGTGCTGCTACTCCCCACGGGCTCCGTTAGCAGCAAAGGAGATGGCTAAAGCTAGGCTAAAGCTAGGCTAAATGCTAACGACTCACTCGGGCTCATTACATACGTCACGGTAAACTCCAATGGTTTCAATCTGCAAAAGGAGTTAGCCCCTCCCACCTGCTAACGGAGTCACTGGAGCAGATCCAGACGATAGTACCAAATGTAAATAATACTATGGTGTGGTACGACCAGGCCTCTAGTGTGTCCTGGGTCTTCCCTTTTACTCGAGTCTATGAAAGAAACAATAATATTATTGGAAGTTATTGAGTTCCAGTGTTTGTGCCCAAACACGAGGCCCATTCCAGTGACCTCCGAACCCATTTTCAGTTAATATCATTAGCTACAAACAGTGATGGTTCTGATTGATTTTCATTTTTTTTTTTTTGAGCATAAATTTGACCTTCATAAGTATTTACAATATTTACATTCCTTAGTGTCCTTTTGTATATGTTTCCTTCTGGGCTTACAGTACTAACACTAATATATAATCATAAATATAGAATCAAGCAGCAGTGTTTGTGGTCGTATAATGCTAATTTCAACATATTTACAAATGCATTTCTTTTTCCAATTTGTATCTGCCTGAAACGGAGCGGGAAAGAACCCATAACAACCTCTGCATGGTGCGAGGTTACCATGGCTACAATGGCATGCTATACATCGTTATCAAGCCTATTTTTTGTATTTAATACTGAGTAAAACTTACTTATTTTGGTGATAAAAGAAAACCCAAACTAATAAAAGTGCTGTAGTCCTTTTGTCCAAATGCATCCACAATGTAAAATGTAGACAGTATTATAAAGTAACCACAGATGAAAAGCTGAGCCATAAACATCTGGAGACGATACTTCAGAGAAACATAGAAGTGTATTTCCTGCGGAGCGTTTACGGTCAGAGGTGACGGTCTCTGGGGTCACATGACTGTAAGTGCTTCATGGATCGATCAGATTTTGCTAATGGTTTCAAACGTGCTTCCAGACTTTTCCTTTTATACGATACAGGACCCACAATGCATCTGTCGTGCTGCGTCAGGTTTGACTCTCCGTCCCGGGATCTTTATAAACTAGATTCAGTTTTAGAAGGACGCCTGAATCTTTGTGTCTGATCCAAAATACTACACAGCTGTCAAGAGAAATGTATTTATTAAAAGATCTGAAGAACTAGTGACACCTCTGTCTTTTTATGCTCTGGGACTTTTGATAGTTAGAGATTGAGATTTTGGGCTGTAGAAAATAATTGATTTGATTTGACTAATGACATGTAAATAATGACATGACAAAGCCTTCATCAGAGATATATATATTTATTTTATCAAACTTTGTTTATTAGTTTTTCATAATAAAATACTAATTGTAAACGTTAGTACCAGTGTGGGCGGGTCCCGGCTCAAAAGTGGCCAAAATGACGTGCGCTGACATGCTGCAGTACCACCCCGGGCCTGTGGGGGTGGACCCGGAATAAGAATTAGCCAATGCTAACATATAGCATCTTCTTACCTCTGGAAAATGTCTTTACAGGATGGTCCAAAAGTTGTCTCTTGGCCCAAAGCTCCGTTCCACATGTGTGTCAATGCTGAGTGTTCTGGACCAGTCTAGTTTAGTCGCTGTGGACTTTAGAAGTCTCTTGTTCAAATGAATGGAGCTCTCTCCGGCTGACGCATGCACAGATGCGTTTTTTCACAATTTTCTTGTGGGCGGGACCACTCGCGGCCATCTTGGATAGCTCCAGTAGAGCACATATTTTGGCCCATTAGTTAGAACGGTGGAGATAGGCGTGACTCTGTCCATTAATATATACAGTCTATGGTTAGTACAGACAGAAAATTGCACTTGAAAGAGAGTTAAGAAAACAAAACAAAAACAAACAAAAATGCTAAAAATTCCCCCCTCCCACCCGAGGCTCGAGAAAAAATAAATAAAAACTTACATTCATGTCAACAGAGATATTTCTTTAACCAGTAGATGTGAGCGGGTCGGGCTCACTCTCAGCAGGTTTGTGGAATCATCATGAACAGAACAGAATAATATCAAATAAGACTCAAAGAAATGGAAACGACTCCTGTGTCCTCATGATTCTGTCTGTTTTTATCATTTTGTTTGAACCGTTTGATTCTCTGATCAGGCCTCAAAGATAACTACAGTTGTGATTTAGGCCGATACAAAAAATAATTGAATTGGAATTGACAACTCTGTGTGTGTGTGTGTGTGTGTGTCTGTCTGTGTATGTGTGTGTCTGTGTGTGTGTGTATATGTGTGTGTCTGTGTCTGTGTTTGTGTGTCTGTGTTTGTGTGTCTGTGTCTGTGTCTGTCTGTGTGTCTGTGTGTGTGTGTGCGTCTGTCTGTGTCTGTGTGTGTATGTGTGTCTGTGTGTGTGTGTGTGTGTCTGTGTGTGTATGTGTGTGTGTGTGTGTGTGTGTGTGTGTGTGTGTGTGTGTGTGTGTGTGTGTGTGTGTGTGTGCGTCTGTCTGTGTCTGTGTGTGTATGTGTGTCTGTGTGTGTGTCTGTGTGTGTCTGTGTGTGTATGTGTGTCTGTGTGTGTGTGTGTGTGTGTGTCTGTGTGTGTGTGTGTGTGTGTGTGTGTGTGTGTGTGTGTGTGTGTATGTGTGTGTCTGTGTGTGTGTGTGTGTGTGTGTGTGTGTGTGTGTGTGTGTGTGTGCGTCTGTCTGTGTCTGTGTGTGTATGTGTGTCTGTGTGTGTGTGTGTGTGTGTGTGCGTCTGTCTGTGTCTGTGTGTGTATGTGTGTCTGTGTGTGTGTCTGTGTGTGTGTGTGTGTGTGTGTGTGTGTGTGTGTGTGTGTGTGTGTGTGTGTGTGTGTGTGTGTGTGTGTGTGTGTGTGTGTGTGTCTGTGTGTGTGTCTGTGTGTGTGTGTGTGTGTGTGTGTGTGTGTGTGTATGTCTGTGTCTGTGTGTGTGTCTGTGTGTGTGTCTGTGTGTGTCTGTGTGTGTGTGTGTGTGTGTGTGTGTGTGTGTGTGTCTGTGTGTGTGTGTGTGTGTGTGTGTGTGTGTCTGTGTGTGTGTCTGTGTGTGTGTGTGTGTGTATGTGTGTGTCTGTGTGTGTGTGTGTGTGTGTGTGTGTGTGTGTGTGTGAGCAGAGGAGCTGCAGTGGATGGTGGAGCAGTGTGGAGCGACTGTAGTGAAGGAGCCGTCGGGCCTCGATCCCAAACTGGTAACTGCCAAAACCATTTTAATCATGTGTTTATGATCCTCGTTCTGTTATTACCTCCACTGTTTTTATTTACTGTACCTTTAACAAAATGCGCTGAAACCAATACTTTTTATAGTTTTAAGACAATAATACTTCATCATTTTATTAGAGAAAAGTCTGAGCAGTGTTTTTAAGCTTGTTTTTAGTCTTTCTTATTTACAGACCTTTCTTATTTAGATAAAATAAATGTGTGATGCTGTATTTTAAGAAAACATTTATCAAAAAATTAAATAATAAACTAGAATCAAGTTGTTTTGGACTAGGATTATTTTATTATTTCCAGAAATGTTGTGAAGTCATATTTTCTATTTTCAGATTATTTCTATTATTTTAAGCAGTATTTTACTTATTTTCATATATATTTTTCTTATTTTTCCCAGTGTGTATGTAGAAAGTATTGTTATATTGTACTGTTTTCCAAGTGTGTTTGCAGTGTTAGTTTTGTTGTGGGTTCTTTAGAAGTTCCTGAATCTGGGACATTTTGGATCAAGTTTGTCTCAGACTTTTCTTTTGACAAATGCATTTTTTACAGTGACTCAAACAAACCCCAGGAGTCACTTGGACTGGGTTTGGTCGTAATAATTATTAGTGAATAAATCTGACTCTTCAAACAGAGCTCTGTCTTTTCTTATTTGGGTCAAACAGAAATTAAACTGATATTAATTTCTCTTTCCCAAAGCTCAGGCTCAGGCTCCATTCTTGGTTTGTTATTATTAAACACTGATTTATTTTTACTAAAATAATGTTTTTCTCTCTTTCTGCTCAGAAATCTCAACAGTTGGTTGTCGTTCAAAGTGGATCTGATATTTCTGCTTCAAGATACAACAGTGAGTCTCTTTCATTTGGACTTTGAATCTATTTTACTCTAAGATAAAATCAGATAGACTTTGTTGGTCTCTGATGGACACAATCAGAAACAGATTGTGCAAAAGACAGAAGTGTGAAACATGTTAAAGGTTAGAATACAGTCTGTGCAGGATATATTTATGAACAATAAAAAGTGGCCATAGCAGCAGGTTTTCAGTCCTAGTGCATCAGGGACTTAAACTGACTAATAATCCTGTACTCCCGAAAACAGAATCAGAATCAATTTTATTTCCATGTGAGTAACAGGAAGTCACATCAGTCAGACAGAATAGAGTAAGGCATAATAAAATCAGCAACACTTCTAAGGTATAACATTTAAAATAGAATTATTACCATGACAATTACTATAAACAATATGCAAGTGCACATGGTTCACACGATGCATCAGTAATATTGGTTCTCTCTGGATCTAAAGCGAGGCCATATTTCCCGTTATGTCTCGGTGGAGGAGGATTTGTCCGATAACTGGAGCGCGCTGAAGGGTGACTCGGGATGACTCAGCGCCGCTGCAGTTTCTGGTCACTAGGTTTGTGTCGCTGCGGCTGTTCTCTGCAGCTAAATGCTGACAGACCGCGCAGACATGGCAACCGCTGCCAGCTCCAATGAGGCTTCCACAAAGTCCAACGCTGCCGGGAACAGCAAGTGTGAAACGAGTCCTACCAGCGAGAAAAGGACAAAACAGAATGTCAGAGAGGCGTCAGGACGGGCATGTTCTGAAAGTGGGTCAAATAGATTTTATTCATCAAAAACATAACTCCAGAGCTCAGGAACTTCCGGCACAAACACAGTATGTCCGTAGATATTGAGTTGAGCTGTATTTAGGATCCAGAATTGGCCAAAGGCTGAAAAGTTTGTCTTTTAATCACTTTAATTACTGTAAACTACATATATTTATATTTTAAAATTTTAAATAAATGTAGTGCTACACACAGATTGTGACCGAGGCCTGGCGTCACCACAGCGTTAGCCAAAGGCAGAAACAGCTGGTTTGAACATAAGCTGGAGCCGATCACAAACACCAGGATCTGAGAGAGCGATAAACCACAGATTTCTTGTTAGCCTGGATGCTAACGATTTCTTTTGGCCCTATTGCAAGTCAATAGGAGCAGCGTTCTGACCAATCAGAGGGCATTATTCTGACCAATCAGAGCTGCTGATCAGAGCGGGAGACTAATGAGCAGAGTTTGTTGCACTGAAGTGTGGATTTAAAGAAAACTGAAGGATTAAAGAAGAAAAAAAGTTAGGTTCTCTGTCAGGTTCTCTGTCAGGTTCTCTGTCAGGTTCTCTGTCAGGTTCTCTGTCAGGTTCTCTGTCAGGTTCTCTGTCAGGTCCTCTGTCAGGTCCTCTGTCAGGTTCTCTGTCAGGTTCTCTGTCAGGTTCTCTGTCAGGTTCTCTGTCAGGTTCTCTGCCAGGTTCTCTGTCAGGTTCTCTGTCAGGTTCTCTGTCAGGTTCTCTGTCAGGTTCTCTGTCAGGTTCTCTGTCAGGTCCTCTGTCAGGTCCTCTGTCAGGTCCTCTGTCAGGTCCTCTGTCAGGTCCTCTGTCAGGTCCTCTGTCAGGTCCTCTGTCAGGTCCTCTGTCAGGTCCTCTGTCAGGTCCTCTGTCAGGTCCTCTGTCAGGTTCTCTGTCAGGTTCTCTGTCAGGTCCTCTGTCAGGTTCTCTGTCAGGTTCTCTGTCAGGTTCTCTGTCAGGTCCTCTGTCAGCTGAGGTCGAGCTGTTTTACTTTACATTGAGTTCTATGGGGTCATGTCTGGGTAGCCCACATGAATCTAGTCTGGTTTAGTCTGGTTTAGTCTGCACACATGGTCACATGGTCCTTCCTCTCCCATCTGTAACTCCATCCAGACATCATCGATCCATGAACAGAGACGGAGGGGATATTACTTCTGTGGTCTTTGTCGTCCTGCAGGTCTGTCCAGGGTGTCTACGGTGGTGACCCGCGGCTGGCTCCTGGATTCAGTCTCCACCTACACAATACACAACTGTAAAAACTACACTATTTAACCCCAAACACATGTATCACTTTTTTCAGTTTTTTCCTGTTTTTAACCTCTCCTAAACCTCCATGTTTCACTGCGACCAGTTTGATGTCAATTCTAACTCTTGTACATAAAGTGTATTCCCGACAAAGGGCCGTGGTGGTGTTTATGCACACATGTCACCGTGGAGACGCTTTCATAAGTTATGAGCAGATCAATGCTGTTTGTTGTGAGGTCATGGCGCTGCATTAGCTTTAGCACGCTGCACTCATCGTATTGACTTGGCATTAAGATATTTTAGCACAATTAAATCCAAGGTCTAACTCTCATGAGCTTTGGGTAATGAGCAAAAGGACAGAGATCGTAGATATGAGGTTTCTAAATGGGTTTTTTATGTATTTGATTGGGATGTGAGTGAGCACAATAAACAGGTGAGTTATAGCAAAGGATCATTTGTAAAGTTTGTCCCTAAAGGCGATTTTAACACAATATAAAACACATGACATTGTTACATTCTCTTTAAAATATATATATAAGTCAAAGATGGTCACACGACTGGTTTGTGGCCAACTGCCTAAGAGATGAGAAGGAGCTCAGTCACACGGGAGGAGCTCGGACTGGAGCTGCTTCTCCATGCCGAGGGGAGTCAGTTTAGGTGGCTCGGGCATCTGTTTAGGAGGCCTTCTGGGGCGGTGTCCTGGGCATGTCCCACCGGTGGGAGGAGACCAGGGCAAGACCAGGCCACGTTGGAGGGACTGTGCCTCTGAGCTGGACTGAGCCAGACCCTTGTAGTTCGCTGAGTTTCACACAAGTGTCTGGGATTTCTCATGATTCTGTATATTGGCTTTTTGTCTATTTATTACCTACAAGTCACTTGGAACAAAGGTGTGCGGAGAAACCACCCAACCTGGCAACCCTGCTGCGTAGTGTTGTAAACATGAACACTTAAACTACTGCTTAAACCAAAATTTACACTAACATTTGACTAAATGATTGACTTTAAAGATTGTGACAAAGCACAGACAGGACCTGTGTGTTGCTCTCGGGGCTAATGTGTGTTGCTCTCTGGGCTAATGTGTGTTTCTCTTGGAGATAATGTGTGTTGCTCTCGGGGATAATGTGATTTAACTTCATTAAAGGAGCATGATTCTAACTGTACATTCCTTTACGTCTGTGAGAAAAAGACCTTTAACTTTGACTTCATTAAGAAAACTAACTTAAGTCTGACGGAGAAAAGGTCACGTTACATTCAGTTATTTACGAGCCGCAAATAAGCTTCAAAAACTTTAACACCTCTGATTATGTTCATTATTTATTTCAGAAAACAGACAGAAAAATAATATTGTAGTTCATAGAGAATAAGACAAAACATACACACATATGGCCCTCTCCATCTACACCTGTCCGACCCGCCTGGGAGTGGCCTGGGAGTGGCCTGGGAGTGGCCTGGGAGTGGCCTGGGCGTGGCCTGGGCGTGGCCTGGGAGTGGCCTGGGCGTGGCCTGGGAGTGGCCTGGGAGTGGCCTGGGCGTGGCCTGGGAGTGGCCTGGGAGTGGCCTGGGCGTGGCCTGGGAGTGGCCTGGGCGTGGCCTGGGAGTGGCCTGGGCGTGGCCTGGGAGTGGCCTGGGAGTGGCCTGGGCGTGGCCTGGGAGTGGCCTGGGAGTGCCTCAGTCCTGCACCGGACCTGTCCACGTCCTGTAGCTTAGGTCCTGGATCTACAGCCCGTCCGTCTGTGGGAGCAGATCCCTTTCTCAAATGGGTCCCCGAGGTTTCTCACTTTTTCCCACTGGGTTTTCTTAGGCTGAGTTTACACGGAGACAATGTGGCAGTAAAACGGTATAGTTGGATGTCGGTTTCTACCAACCGTTCATACGAAGACTGTGTTCCAGGTGAAAACGTAAGGCCCTGTTTATACTGAGACGCTGCGCAGACGTTTCCAGGCTATTAACAGAAACGACCTGGCTCCTAATGCAAATTTCTCAGCGTTCACATGAGGTTGAAAAACGATGTAGTTCTAGCGCCCGGCCAGTAGGGGGCAGAGGAACTTTACAACACGACACACGACCCCCAGCCCCCTCTCGGCAGTATATTCACTTCCTGTGCCAGACCCTCAGAAAGTACCAACATCATTCTGCATTTTAACAGCAGCTGTGAAAATGGAAACTGAACCTAGAGCTTCGCGTGGTCTCGTTTGGACGAACGAAGGAGTAGAATCTTCCTCTGTGCCGCGCTGGAAGCCCACGTAGCTAGTTTGTGTGGGCGGCGCCATTATTGTTGATGTTTGTTCTCCGCTACTGCACATGTCCAAATTTACGTGAGGGAGCAGCAGGAGGTGGGGGTCAGAGCAGCAGGAGGTGGGGGTCAGAGCAGCAGGAGGTGGGGGTCAGAGCAGCAGGAGGCGGTGGGGGTCAGAGCAGCAGGAGGCGGGGGTCAGAGCAGCAGGAGGCGGGGGTCAGAGCAGCAGGAGGCGGGGGTCAGAGCAGCAGGAGGTGGGGGTCAGAGCAGCAGGAGGTGGGGGTCAGAGCAGCAGGAGGTGGGGGTCAGAGCAGCAGGAGGTGGGGGTCAGAGCAGAGGGGGATTTCACACCTTTCCCCTCTCGCGGGTGTGAAAGAGCCCCCGCTGTGCAGCGTTTCTGAGCTGTCCCACTCTGAGGCTGGATCTGAACACTTACGTTTTCACCTGGAACACAGTCTTCATATGAACGGTTGGTAGAAACCGACATCCAACTATACCGTTTTACTGCCACATTGTCTCCGTGTAAACTCAGCCTCAGTGATCAGATCCAGCCTCAGAGTGGGACAACTCAGAAACGCTGCACAGCGGGGGCTCTTTCACACCCGCGAGAGGGAAAAGGTGTCAAATCCCCCTCTGCTCTGACCCCCACCTCCTGCTGCTCTGACCCCACCTCCTGCTGCTCTGACCCCCACCTCCTGCTGCTCTGACCCCCACCTCCTGCTGCTCCCACACGTACATTTGGACATGCGCAGTAGCGGAGAACAAACATAAACAACAATGGCGGCGGTCACACTAACTAGCTTCGTGGGCTTCCAGCGCGGCACAGAGGATAATTCTACTCCTTCGTTCGTCCAAACGAGACCACGCGAAGCTCTAGGTTCAGTTTCCATTTTCACAGCTGCTGTTAAAATGCAGAATGATGTCGGTACTTTCTGAGGGTCTGGTACAGGAAGTGAGTACACTGCAGAGAGGGGGGCTGGGCACGGGGCTGGGGGTCGTGTGAGTGTTGTAAAGTTTCTCTGCCCCCTACTGGCCGGGCGCTAAAACTACATCATTTTTCAACCTCATGTGAACGCTGAGAAATCTGCATTAGGAGCCAGGCCGTTTCTGTTAATAGCCTGGAAACGTCTGCGCAGCGTCTCAGTGTAAACAGGGCCTGAGAGTTGTTCCTCTGATGCAGGAGTCTGTTGGAGAGTTAGTGTCAGACTAGAAGGACTGTGATGATCCAGGACACTTTAACATTCTACATGTGTGACATTTATCAACATGTGTCTATATTCTGTATGTGTTTTAACTGTTATTCTCTGACCTGTGTTGGTGATTTCAATGGTTTTGTTAAGTCTCTGAGATGATGCTGTTGTGATTTAGGGAAATACAAGAATAAATTGTGTTGCACATAAGACAAAAAACACATTGTTAATATATTGTGTGAATGTGATTTCCAGTTCATTCGATTTTAAGAAGTTCAAAACCTATGCTCTTAATATTTAAAGAACTTTGATCATTCTTTAATTACCATTAAATCTAGTGTCCAGCTTCTTGCTACTTTCACAGTTTTTCTCTTTTGCATGATTTAAACGTTAAGAAAATAAATGTACTCTTGACATTAGCGGTTCTAGATCTCGATTCTCTGGGTTCTTTGTTCTTCTGAGAGAAAGACGGTAAAGTACGGTCAGGTTTGTTCAGTTTTCCATCTTTTACAAATCTCTGCATATAATCTTTTTCCTTTGAAGTTAAGTTCCTCAGCTTTAATATTTAGCTCCAGACTGATTTCTCCACCGTCATACTCCCGTTCTTACTTCCTGGTTTCCTTTTCACAACAAACACATTTAGGCCACTTCTCCTTCGTACATGTACAGTAGACACGGGTGCTTTTACTTATGCATGTGTCTATTCTGGGCCTCGAACCCCCAGGAGCCACCGGGGGCCGAGCAGCTGCGATCGTAATGTATTCAATGAGTAGAAATAATGTGAGCGGAGAATCTGTGCCACATGCGACGCTGTAAAGTTGGAAAAACAAAGCATTTCTGAGCAGAAAGTACCAGCGCGAGGTCAGAGGTCAGGCTGGATATGGGATCGTTCTGGTTTACATGACGGAGAAAGAACATCAAGAAAACATACAGAAATACGGCTGTAAATGCTTGGTTTTTATCTTTTATATCAGTGTAGTTTGACTCTGAAGAGGATTTTACAATAGCAGCAACAAGCTTCACTGTAAAAAAAATATATATATAAAAATAGCAATCGTTATATAGTTCTGTCAGTGTGTGTTTTTGTGTTGTTTTTTGTTTAAATAAAATAAAATAAAAATGAAAATACGCAATTCTTTTTTTGTTACTTTTGTTGCTGAGATCTCCCGGGGTATGTTTGTCAGAATATGAAAAAACTGTTGAAACAATTTTTAATCCCACGTTTTTTAGTTTAGCCGATGGAGGACTTTGAAAAATATTTACATTTATAGACTTTTCTTCTCGCTCCTTATGGTCTAATGGCTCCTATGTTGCATTGATCCACTGTTTGATTCTCTGATTGTTGTTGACCTATCGACAACTTTGTAAAGACCTCCGAGACGACGGCTTTTGTAGTTTAGAGCTACACAAAAAAGGAAACAAAAATGAATTGATCTGAAATCGTAGGAGAAATGCCTCCACTGTTGATATGAAACTAACTTCTCATTCTATTCAAAAATACTCAACATTTGACAGATTTTTCTTATATATATTGATTTTTTTGCAGTGTACATATTTCCTTTTCCACGTCCACACCCTGAACACACACCGCACCCTGAGTCTGCACTGAAGGGTTTCTGAAGGTCATGTTTGCTTTTCTAATCTAGTTACTAATGCTTACATCGGCATTTATCAGATATTTCTTCTTGTCTGCGGCTGTTGTTTTGATGCTAAATGACTACAACATGTTTCTTGAAGCAGGTGAGACCGAGGCCCAGACCCAGACCCAGGCCCAGACCGAGACCGTGAAACGATGGAGTCAGCAGTTTGTGGTGAGGTTTTTTTAAAAATGCCAGATGTGCAGAGACAGACGCCGTGTTCCTCCAGTCAGCTGATTCACTGAGCCGGTTAGCGTTACCATGGAGACGCACATTATGCTTTTTTTAACATTTTATTTTTTCGGTGCTATGAGAATGGGGTGCAGCTCTGATTTCCAACCCCCCGACCCAGAAATGGACTAACATAGTGGTTGAATATATGTATTTGTGTATGTATCAATCTGAAATGTCCCCAATGTGGGATGAATAAATGACCTTCTTCTTAAAATTAATAACATAAATATTAATTCATTCATTTTTCTCATTCAAGGTGACATACAATCGCTCAATGACAAAAAAACGGCAAAAAAACCTCTGAACGTTTTTATGAACCCTAAAGAGCATTCAGTGTTATTGTCGGTCGATACTTGATGAGTCCTCACCAACAGTGCACTGAGGCGTTCCGCAGGGTTCGTCACTCAGACCACTGTTATTGTCCTTTTTTACACTGGAAAAAAGTAAGATTTATTTACTAAAATTATTATTTTTCTAGTTTTAAGATGATTATACTTCATAATCTTTATTAGAGAAGAAAGTCTGAGAAGTGAGTTTTCAAGCTTGTTTTTTTCTTATTTCCAGCCTTTTCTTGTTTGGATAAAATAAGTTTGATTTTGTTTAAGAAATAAGTAAATAATACTTGAAATGTATGTTTTTAAACTAGAATCAAGTCGTTTGTGGTTTTATTTTCTTTAGTCATATTTTCTTGTTCTAACGGCAGATCATTGTATTTTATATAATTTTTTAAGGGATTTGTTCCAATGTAAATGTTTTGGTGTGTGTTTGGTGTGTGTTTGGTGTGTGTTTGGTGTATGTTTGGTGAATGTTTGGTGTGTGTTTGGTGTGTGTTTGGTGAATGTTTGGTGTGTGTTTGGTGAATGTTTGGTGTGTGTTTGGTGTGTGTTTGGTGTGTGTTTGGTGTGTGTTTGGTGTGTGTTTGGTGTATGTTTGGTGTGTGTTTGGTGAGTGTTTGGTGTGTGTTTGGTGTGTGTTTGGTGTGTGTTTGGTGAATGTTTGGTGTGTGTTTGGTGTGTGTTTGGTGAATGTTTGGTGTGTGTTTGGTGTATGTTTGGTGTGTGTTTGGTGCGTGTTTGGTGAATGTTTGGTGAGTGTTTGGTGTGTGTTTGGTGTGTGTTTGGTGTATGTTTGGTGTGTGTTTGGTGTGTGTTTGGTGTATGTTTGGTGTGTGTTTGGTGTATGTTTGGTGTGTGTTTGGTGTATGTTTGGTGTGTGTTTGGTGTATGTTTGGTGTGTGTTTGGTGTGTTTGGTGTGTGTTTGGTGTATGTTCGGTGAATGTTTGGTGTGTGTTTGGTGTGTGTTTGGTGTGTGTTTGGTGTATGTTTGGTGTGTGTTTGGTGAGTGTTTGTTGTGTGTTTGGTGTGTGTTTGGTGTGTGTTTGGTGAATGTTTGGTGTGTGTTTGGTGTGTGTTCGGTGAGTGTTTGGTGAGTGTTTGGTGTGTGTTTGGTGTATGTTTGGTGAGTGTTTGGTGAGTGTTTGGTGTGTGTTTGGTGTGTGTTTGGTGTGTGTTTGGTGTGTGTTTGGTGTGTGTTTGGTGTGTGTTTGGTGTGTGTTCGGTGAGTGTTTGGTGTGAGTGTTTGGTGTGTGTTTGGTGTGTGTTTGGTGTGTGTTTGGTGTGTGTTTGGTGTGTGTTTGGTGTGTGTTTGGTGTGTGTTTGGTGTGTGTTTGGTGTGTGTTTGGTGTGTGTTTGGTGTGTGTTTGGTGTGTGTTTGGTGTGTGTTTGGTGCGTGTTTGGTGTGTGTTTGGTGTGTGTTTGGTGTGTGTTTGGTGTGTGTTTGGTGTGTGTTTGGTGTGTGTTTGGTGCGTGTTTGGTGTGTGTTTGGTGTGTGTTTGGTGTGTGTTTGGTGTGTGTTTGGTGTGTGTTCGGTGAGTGTTTGGTGAGTGTTTGGTGAGTGTTTGGTGTGTGTTTGGTGTGTGTTTGGTGTGTGTTTGGTGCGTGTTTGGTGCGTGTTTGGTGTGTGTTTGGTGTGTGTTTGGTGTGTGTTTGGTGTGTGTTTGGTGTGTGTTTGGTGTGTGTTTGGTGTGTGTTCGGTGAGTGTTCGGTGAGTGTTCGGTGAGTGTTTGGTGTGTGTTTGGTGAGTGTTTGGTGAGTGTTTGGTGTGTGTTTGGTGTGTGTTTGGTGTATGTTTGGTGTGTGTTTGTGTGTGTCTTCTTTAACCCGCAGCTGCACTTTACATATTTAAAATATTTAAGCAGGATTTCTGTCACACCCTCCTGGTCACTCAGGCACTTCCTGATGGACCGGTCCTGACCTGCAGCCTAAAGATTGGCATAACTAACTCAAAGTTAGTTATGCCAATAAAGTTTTTAGCCCAGTTACACATAGAATATAACAATTTCCACATGAACTTAAATATTTTGAGCTGAAGGGAAATGGAGAAAGAAGAACAGGGGCTCCAGCTTTATCTGTTTAATGATTAATATACTTATTTCTGCGACAACTACAGAATAAACTGAAACCAAATCTCTCTCATTGGTCTCTCTCTGGTCTCTCCCTGGTCTCTCTTTGGTCTCTCTCTAGTCTCTCACTGGTCTCTCTCTCTGGTCTCTCTCTCTGTTCTCTCTCTGGTCTCTCTCTCTGGTTTCTCTCTGGTCTCTCACTGGTCTCTCTCTGGTCTCTCCCTGGTCTCTCTTTGGTCTCTCTCTAGTCTCTCACTGGTCTCTCACTGGTCTCTCACTCTGGTCTCTCTCTCTGTTCTCTCTCTGGTTTCTCTCTGGTCTCTCTCTGGTCTCTCTCTCTGGTCTCTCTCTCTGGTTTCTCTCTGGTCTCTCACTGGTCTCTCTCTGGTCTCTCCCTGGTCTCTCTTTGGTCTCTCTCTAGTCTCTCACTGGTCTCTCACTGGTCTCTCTCTCTGGTCTCTCTCTCTGGTCTCTCTCTCTGGTTTCTCTCTGGTTTCTCTCTGGTCTCTCTCTCTGGTCTCTCTCTCTGGTCTCTCTCTCTGGTTTCCTCTCTGGTCTCACTCTGGTCTCTCTCTCTCTGGTTTCTCTCTGGTCTCTCTCTCTGGTCTCTCTCTGGTTTCTCTCTGGTCTCTCTCTTTGGTTTCTCTCTGGTCTCTCTCTGGTTTCTCTCTGGTTTCTCTCTGGTCTGTCTCTCTGGTCTCTCTCTCTGGTCTCTCTGGTTTCTCTCTGGTCTCTCTCTCTGGTCTCTCTCTCTGGTCTCTCTCTGGTTTCTCTCTGGTCTCTCTCTCTGGTCTTTCTCTGGTTCCTCTCTGGTCTTTCTCTGGTTCCTCTCTGGTCTCTCTCTCTGGTCTCTCTCTCTGGTCTCTCTCTCTGGTTCCTCTCTGGTCTCTCTCTCTGGTTCCTCTCTGGTCTCTCTCTCTGGTCTCTCTCTCTGGTCTCTCTCTGGTCTCACTCTGGTCTCTCTCTCTGGTTTCTCTCTGGTCTCTCTCTCTGGTTTCTCTCTGGTCTCTCTCTCTGGTTTCTCTCTTTGGTTTCTCTCTGGTCTCTCTCTCTAGTATCTCTCTCTGGTTTCTCTCTCTGGTTTCTCTCTGGTCTCTCTCTCTCTGGTTCCTCTCTGGTCTCTCTCTCTGGTTCCTCTCTGGTCTCTCTCTGGTTCCTCTCTGGTCTCTCTCTCTGGTCTCTCTCTGGTCTCTCTCTCTGGTCTCTCTCTGGTCTCTCTCTCTGGTCTCTCTCTGGTCTCTCTCTCTGGTTCCTCTCTGGTCTCTCTCTGGTCTCTCTCTCTGGTCTCTCCCTCTTGTCTCTCTCTGGTCTCTCTCTCTCTCTGGTTTCTCTCTGGTCTCTCTCTCTCTGGTCTCTCTCTCTGGTTTCTCTCTTTGGTTTCTCTCTGGTCTCTCTCTCTCTGGTCTCTCTCTGGTCTCTCTCTCTGGTCTCTCTCTGGTCTCTCTCTCTGGTCTCTCTCTGGTTCCTCTCTGGTCTCTCTCTCTGGTTCCTCTCTGGTCTCTCTCTCTGGTTCCTCTCTCTGGTCTCTCTCTCTGGTCTCTCTCTGGTCTCTCTCTCTGGTTCTCTCTCTGGTTCCTCTCTGGTCTCTCTCTCTGGGTCCTCTCTGGTCTCTCTCTCTGGTCTCTCTCTCTGGTCTCTCTCTCTGGTTCCTCTCTGGTCTCTCTCTCTGGTCTCTCTCTGGTCTCTCTCTGGTCTCTCTCTGGTCTCTCTCTCTGGTCTCTCTCTCTGGTCTCTCTCTCTGGTCTCTCTCTCTGGTTTCTCTCTGGTCTCTCTCTCTGGTCTCTCTCTCTGGTTTCTCTCTCTGGTCTCTCTCTCTGGTCTCTCTCTCTGGTCTCTCTCTCTGGTTCTCTCTCTGGTCTCTCTCTGGTCTCTCTCTCTGGTCTCTCTCTCTGGTTTCTCCTCTGGTTTCTCTCTCTGGTCTCTCTCTCTGGTTTCTCCCTGGTCTCTCTCTGGTCTCTCTCTCTGGTCTCTCTCTCTGGTTTCTCTCTGGTCTCTCTCTCTGGTCTCTCTCTCTGGTTTCTCCCTGGTCTCTCTCTGGTCTCTCTCTGGTCTCTCTCTCTGGTTTCTCCCTGGTCTCTCTCTGGTCTCTCTCTCTGGTCTCTCTCTCTGGTCTCTCTCTCTGGTTTCTCTCTGGTTTCTCTCTGGTTTCTCTCTGGTCAGTGAAGTCACTCTGTACATGGTTGATTCTATAAAGCAGGATGTGCAGATGCAGCTTTGTGCCTTTGTCCTTTAGGGTGCGGTGCTCTTGAGCTTTTTGCTTCTGCCCACTCCTTTGTGTCGTAATATGTTCAAGTAAATAAATAGAATCAAAATCTCAGTCATGTAATCGGTACAAACTTCTGGTATAAAAACTTGAAGTGGGATTGTGAAGGATTTCGGTGAAAAAATGACCTCCAAAACCTGTGCCTGAATCTGCCGAAACACACACAACTACGACTGAAGTAATAGCCACAAAAAACTGCCCTGGGAGAGAAAACCTCCCTCAAAGTCTCCATGTGGAAACGTGCGCCGCCATCTTGGACTGTTTATAGATGCACTGGAAAAAATCCCTTGGAAAAAAAGAAATATATGAAAATGAGTTTATTTATTTATTTATTTGAATTAGGACAGTGCACATTAATCAACACGTCAGCCAAAAGCATCAATGTAAATGTACCAGAATTAGCGTGAGAGCTAAATTGCATCCGTTGTCCTAAGGCAGGAAAAGAAACATTGACAGTAGGAAAATACAAACATAGTACAGAGAACAGCACAAAGTTACAGTCATAGTTACAAGGACAGACACAGGTAAGATAACATAACACGCCCAAGAATTGATTAAGCATTGAACTTTAATAGCAGTTAATAAATACTGCTTATAATAAAAAAAAAGATCTAACAATAGAAGAAGAAAAGAAGAAATAACGAACTAAAACTGGCCCGAACGACTTGATTCCAGTTTTAAAATATACAGTTTGCAAGACTTTACTTTTTTCAGTGTAGATAGATAGATACTTTATTGATCCCCGTAGAAGAAATGCAGGTGTCCAGTGGCAGTAAAAATTAAATTGATCATTCAAAAAAACATAATAGTGATGATCAGCAACAGCCCTTTAGGTTACAGCAGCACAGGTGGAGTAGCCTCTGGGTGGAGCAGGACAGGTCACAGCAGCAGAGGTGGAGCAGGATAGGTCACAGCAGCACAGGTGGAGTAGCCTCTGGGTGGAGCAGGACAGGTCACAGCAGCAGAGGTGGAGAAGCCTCTGGGTGGAGCAGGACGGGTCCTGGCAGCAGAGGTGGAGAAGCCTCTGGGTGGAGTAGGGCAGGTCACAGTAGCAGAGGTGGAGTAGCCTCTGGGTGGAGTAGGACAGGTCACAGCAGCAGAGGTGGAGTAGCCTCTGGGTGGAGCAGGACAGGTCACAGCAGCAGAGGTGGAGAAGCCTCTGGGTGGAGCAGGACGGGTCACAGCAGCAGAGGTGGAGTAGCCTCTGGGTGGAGCAGGACGGGTCACAGCAGCAGAGGTGGGTTAGCCTCTGGGTGGAGCAGGACGGGTCACAGCAGCACAGGTGGAGTAGCCTCTGGGTGGAGCAGGACAGGTCACAGCAGCAGAGGTGGAGTAGCCTCTGGGTGGAGCAGGACAGGTCACAGCAGCAGAGGTGGAGTAGCCTCTGGGTGGAGCAGGACAGGTCACAGCAGCAGAGGTGGAGAAGCCTCTGGGTGGAGCAGGACAGGTCAAAAGGTGGAGTACCTGCTTGTGTGGACGATGTCTGGACAAAACTCCAGCTTGTCTTTGCAATAATTGTCAGAAACAAAAATGCCCATAAAAGGAAATTGGCTCCAGCTATCTAATGTTCAAATCAGCTTGTTCCACATTCAAAATGGCTGCTACTACAATACTGTTGTGTTGTTGTTTGAAATAATCTAAAATCTTACATAATGCCCCTTGGCTTTAATACAGATATATGGTCATCTTGTTGCTATGGAGATTCCACTGTGTTCTGCATCTTTTCGCGTCGTGCTGGCATTTTGTTTTTCCTAAATCATTTAACATTTACGCCAATCTTGCTTGTAACTTGGTGATGTCAACTGCCTGTTTGCATATAAGCCTTTTAGAATAACTTACACAAAATCTAAATGACATTACATCGAAGGCAGCGGACTTCTCTGGTGAAATGTGGTCAATTTCTAACTCATTCACAAATCTGCTCTTTGTCTTTGCCGCATGGTGAAATCCGCATCAAAACCCAGTGAGTCTTTTGTTGACACATCCCACATATATTTTTAATCGGCTAAATTTTACATATTGCTTAAATGGGCCCTGAATATTGTATGACACGACCATTATCCCGGCACAGCAACTGCTTCTGGTTGGTCTCATACTTCCCCTTTAATCCCCTCTGGTCGCGCAGTCGTTGCAGTAAAAACAGATTTGAGCTGCCGTAGAGGCGCATTAGAGCCTAGTTTTATGGAGTAAAGCAAAGACATTAAAGATGCAGGAGCCGAGGGTCTGCTC